CCTGCCCCCCCCCCCTGCAGCCGGCGTGTCCTTCCCCGTGCCGCTCTACCCGCTGGTGCAGCCCGCGGTGCTGGTGGAGACGTTTGAGGCGGGCACACACATCAGCGCATACGTGGCCAGGTGGGCGGGGCACAGCGCCCGCAGCAGGCGCAGCAGCGCCAGCCTGGCGCCGGGGCTGCCCGCCGCGCAGGCGCCAGCGCGTGCCGCAGCTGGCGCCGGCTTTGCCGGCTCGCGCACAAATCGCGCACCACACACCGCCCACCCCGCTCTCTCACCACGCCGCCACCGCCGCCACTGCCCTGCAGGGGCGCCGGCGCGCCCCACAACAGCGAGCTGGCCAAGCTGGGGGCGCGCACGATGCTGCACATGATGATTGTGGTGAGCCTGCTGCGCCCGCTGCGCCTGCCGCGCCTGCTGCGCCCGCCGCGCGTGCCGCGACGGCCCGGCGGCGGCGCCAGCCGGGCGGGGCGCTGCCGCGCCTGCTGCGGCTGCCGGGCCGTGGAGCGCCCCGCCGGCCCGCCCTCCCCGCCCTTCTAGTCCACACTCCAAGAAGCACACCAACACACGCCCGCCATGCGCCCGCCTGCCTCCCTCGTGCCGCAGGACAACCTCATCCATGCCGACCTGCACCCGGGAAACATCCTGGGTGGGTGCAGGGCTGGGGCGGCTGGGGTGGGTGCGCGTGTGTGCATATGTGTGCAGCGGCCGTCCTGACGATGTCGCCGCCACCACGCCGGCGTGTGTGTGTGGGCGTGCATGTGTGTGTGTGTGTGTGTGTGTGTGTGTGTGTGTGTGTTGATGGCGATGGTGGTGGTGGTGGCGGCGGTTCCCGGCATCCTTGGCTGGGGCTGTGGCCGCTCCCAACCGCCCTCACAGCATGCTGCCTGGCTACTTCTCCTCCTGCTTGTCGCCCCCCCGCTGCCACCGAGCCCTTCCTGCTGCCTGCACTCTCACCTGTACCTGCTGGCCCCGCTGCCTCCTTGCCCCCCCGCAGTCACCCTGGATTGGCCCTTTGGCGGCGCCAACCGCCTGGTGCGGCTGGGGCGGCGCCTGGCGGTGGCGGCGGGCCTGCAGGGCGCGGTGGACTGGCTGGATGGCTGGCAGCGGGCCAAGCTGGTGCTGCTGGATGCGGGGATGGCCATGCGCCTGACACGTGAGTGGGGAAGGGGAGCGGGGAGCGTGTGGGTGGGTGTGTGTGTGTGGGGGGGGGGGGGGC